AGTGGCAGATTTTCTCCGGTTGTGTCTTTTTTCAAATTCTAGCGATCTCGAGCCGGTTTCTCAAACTTACCTACCCTACCTTTAAAGCATTCTGTGAAATGTGAGTGTTTAATGAGTGTATGAAATGCCCAGCCAACTCAAAAGGACTCCCAACTTTAAACTCCAACAAGCACCGATTCAAAAAAGATTTTCAAGCAGTTCTTTTGTTTTTTTACGAGTCCTCCGTGTAAAATCTGCTGCGCTGACCTTGTTGTTTTGGATTTTACAGGTTTATACCTAGAGGCTACTTTTGTGATATCTAATATCATGCATCTCAATAAACAGATGTTGCTTTAAACAATTATGTACTTTTTCTTACCGTTCCCAGTGAGGTTTGGTTTTTTCAGGGGGCTCTAATCGTTTTGTTTCAGTGGCTCTACTGTTCAAAGTAGTTTTGATCTTGTAATAACAGGGCAGTCCCCAAGACTCATGTAGGTCTTCATCCCACACTTAAAGATCCTAACAGCTGTATCAACTCCACAGTCAAACACCAACACCAGTAAGAGTGGAGCACAGGGATTTTAAGAAGTAAAAGCAGCCACGAAAACACTATTTTAAGCACTAAAACATGCAAGAGAAGCACAAATGGGACAGAAGCATGCACAGATGTTCAACCAAAACTAAAATGACAACTCAGCATTCCAACTTCAATTACAGAGAAAACACCACGGCGAGTGTTCCAAAAAAACTGTACAGATGCAAGAAAAGCAGGGCCGGATTTGACGTGCAACCCGCTCAGACAGGGCAGTGGGGTGGAAGTCATTTTCTCAAAACAAACAGTGGACAGATGAGAGTCATAATCACAGGGAGTTGGGAGGCTGGGTGGGGGCGAGGGGACACATCTGAGCAGAGGAGGCCCGGCTTTGATCATGTGGACAGAAGGGTCGTCTCACTAAGGTGTTAATTGAGAGACCTCTGCCATATGTCTACTACAGCTGACTGGCCAACCCTGATGATGTGGACTCAGAGCAGCGCTAAGCCCGATGTACCAACCGACGACAGGCTGTGCTTCCACCCGAGCTGCTTATGCATAAACGGGAAGCCAGTGGGAGGCTGTGGAATGCTCCGGGTGCTGCTGGAACACATGCACAATGTACAGATTTTAACACTAAGCTTGTTACAGTACGAACAAGCACAGAAACAACAGGAAAATAAGCAAGGTGCACGTGAGATGCTGCCCACACACTAAATCAATGTGATGCATTAATGTCTAAATAAATAAAAAATGTCAGACTAATTATTCCAAAACTGCAACATCATGTTTCAAGATGTTGCGTCTCCAGTATGTGCAGACAGATGAATAATAGACATAATGTTGTGCATATGGGGAAGCAAGGGGGCATCACAAAACACGACTGAGCTGCAGGTCGCAGTGTCCAAAACAAACTTCTTGGCTCTACTGCAGAGGACGAATATAATGCAGTCAAAGGCCACAGCCCTACAAAAATCCTTTCTTCATGAAGATATAATATCTTCTTTCTGGTATGGGGACTTTGGAGGATGTAGTTTGGCTTTATAATCTGTTTTTTGACATGTTTACAATGCCATATTGTGCAAAGAATGAGTTGCCATATTACCTTACATGGCTAGAATCAGTGGACAAGCTTCAAACACTTGTGTGTCTTATGAGATGTATAACATATAAAAATGGTAGTCAAAATAAGTATATTCAACTTACATTTACTAATCATTTCTTTATCAGGAGGGCAGCATTGCAATGTCAATTTTTAAATAAATGAAACCTTTGCGATACATTCAAGACCGTTATGCAAGAAAGAGCAGCCGGATTTTCTATAATAGCATCAATTTATAGTGGATAATTGAATATCTGGGAAAATATTCAAGTTTCTTTCTTAAGTAATACAAAAAAAACAAGATCACCAGGTTTACCAAAGACACAGCAGGTTGGTACTTTTATGTCTGAAGGAATGCTTTGTCTGGTCTCCTTTGATGAAAGCACTGTTCATCATCTGTATTTTTATTATACCCAAGTGTAGAAAAATGGATTCAGGGATTTGCCAAAACTGCCACACTGGAAGCTGAAGAATTTCATTAAACCAATGTCACGGAGCTCATATTCTTCCCCTTGACATATCAATTCAGTGCTTTATCTGTAAAGAAAAGTGGGAAAGCCTCCAAGCCCAGAAGATGAAGAGCCCTCTATGTGACCCCAGCTCTCCAACAGCACAATAGGGACCACCATCCAGGTCTATATCCCTACTATTCTATTCCTATAATGCTTTAGCAGTGCTTTCATCTGCCTGCTTCAACCTCTGGAAGTAAAAAAATAGGTAGTGGCATGCCAAATCAGAAGAGATTTTCCTCGGTTTGGAGACTGGATTTGACCAACAAAACTGTAGGCAGCATTTCCAAGTTGATGATGGCCCATAAAGCCACAAAGAAAAAGAGTTATGGGAATTGTTCTTTTAGAGCCTGATATGAGGGTGTTTGGGACTTGCAAATCTGCAGTTAAACCCTATTTAAGCTGTTAAATGCATGGCAAAAATGAGTCAGCATGGGTCATATAATGGTAGGGGATTACTTAAAGTCACATGAAGGAGAATGGTGAATGTTTGAAAAGCAAAATTCTTCATGAAAAAAAGCGAGGGGGGGTGACACTACAAAAATAATGAATAAACAGACTTTTCCACAACACATTCCCCTGCACTTGGAGCTCAAAGTTCAGCATGTGGGATTCTTCCAGCACTTCCATGACACCTGTGACTGTCTGGCGGGAACTAGCTTTGTTTGGTCGGGGTTAAAAAAAATACCAGATAACCACAAGGAGCACGAACAACAAACACCATATGACTTTAAATATAATCCTGCTTAACCAGAAGCGCTTCATAGGATTGTCTCGTCTGGTCTCTGCAGGACCACCTGACGCAGATACGCATCGAGGACACATTACATTATCCCACTCAAAGAAAACGTGCACGTGCGTGGTTTTAGTCGAATTAAAACAGCATCAAAAGTTTGACTACTTTAAGAGCGATGACATTGTCATTTCAGAAGCGTTCCGCGACTTCAACACGTTTAACTTACCCAGTGTCTCAACACGCTGTTTTTAGACCCGAATGCAACTCCTGCTCTCTGGTTGTCCTTGGAGTTAAATTCTTGAAGGAGAAAACGTCCGGTTGAGGTATTAACGTGACGTCAAAACTTCTGCAAGGTTATACTTCAGCCCCGTGGCACACAGCACGTCCCGTCCGCACCACCACCAGCAGCCTCTTTGTACTTATCCGCCTCAGCAGCGAGTTGTTCAGTGACGGGCATGCGCAGTCGGTGCCACCCGACAAGCGGAGTCCTATGAGTGAGTGAGTGCTGGGGCTACAGGTGTAGCTAGCTTGCTTACCTGCTGCAAGGTGGGACTACTTTTTACTGTTCGACCTACTGCAAACTAAACTACCAGAATATTTATTTGTAGCCGTCCTGCAAAAAATTGTAAGAAGTTTTTCTACCAAACGAGCTCCCATAAACTTTTGTTAATTAACTAATAAGAACTATTTAGGCTACCACTTCTGGTTAATGTTCACTTCAACAAACCATTCAGCCAGACGTCGAGAGATTCAACGAACTGATAATATTCATTGTTACTTGAATAGTGAAGTTATAGATGTTCTGCTAGTAAATATTTCTGACTTTTATGTAGTGACAGGCTAACACACCCGTGTATCTTCCGTGTAACAATATATTCTTGCAACGTCAACAAGTCTTAAATTAGGCTGTTTTCCGTTTGGCGCATTAATATGAGTTTTTCTGAATTGTCCTAGAAGTGCAGTTTTTTGTGTGGATGGAACTTGTAACTGAGAATGCTCAGCTTTTTTTGTATGTATTCTTATTAGATATAATAAAGGTAAAGCTATATTGTGATTATTAAAAAGGGTAATGCTTATTCCAGGCTACCAAAACACACCCGCAGTTTAATTGGGACAGAGCCGAGTCAGCGTCCCTGGTTAACTGGCCAAGGTTGCCATCTAGTGGCGTTTGTTTGAACAGCAGCTCCACACCCTTTCAAAATAAAATACCAGATGTACAGTGCAGTAATAGGATGTAAACAACTTAGTTAGTTATCAAAGAATCCAAGAGCGATATATACATACATTTTATTTCGAACCAAAATAAACAATAAAATGAATGTTAAACATATGCAGCAACGTTTCAATAAACACAATAAATAAAAACATATCAAATAAGGGTAGCAAGAAGTAGCCTATACACTGATATGGTCCCACCTATGTATAGTATGGTACATTTTCATCAACAATCACCTTAATATTTAAAATATACAGTATAGCTCAAATGTTAAATTGTAAAATAATTTTAAATATAACTTATATTACCTTGTCCTAATACATCAACAATTATATGTTGTATATCTCCTTAAACCGATTTATTTTGCACTTTGTTTGAGTTTAACATGTAAACCATTCCAAAATATTCACCCCAAAAACAGAGTGTTACAAACACAATGTCTATTTTTTATTACATTTTCCTTTTTATGTTATAACCCCCTCTCTGTCTGAGAACATGTTTTAATTTGCCCTGAATTCTACATTCTGACAGACAGACAGACAGACAGACAGACAGACAGACAGACAGGCAGACAGACAGACAGACAGGCAGAAAGATGGATAAAATGGGTGAATTAGGAACACATCTGGGACAAATAAATATGCAAGCTGCCAGTTGGTATGTTCAAAAGCCATTAGAATGTGAATCTACAGAAGTCATCATTATGACACTATTCATGAACACTATACCTGCAGAAAGTACACGAACTCTCTTGCGCAACGACAGTTTGACTTCAGGCGTGTTCAGCTTCAATATTTCTAGTCACATCCCACTATTGGCAACACTATCATTTCACAGTGTGTACAAAGCGGGTAGTGTTTCCAGATTGAGCCACACCTCTCGTGCGGCTCTGGATTGGCTCGTGGTGTCTTCCCCCCTCCACTCCAGTTCCGCGTTGCAGAGCATTTAAGTCCTGCAGCATTTCCGGCAACTTCTACTCTCTCTTGCTGCAGGAGAGCATCTGTCACCATGACCGACCAAGGAGCCTTCGACACCAACGTAGTGACCATGACCCGGTTCGTTATGGAGGAGGGAAGGAAGGCTAAAGGCACCGGGGAGCTGACAACGCTGCTCAACTCGCTGTGCACGGCGGTGAAGGCCATCTCCAGCGCCGTGCGTAAAGCTGGGATCGCACACCTGTGAGTAAACACTATTCTCTGAGAAGATGCCACGTTTGTTTATAAAGTTAAAAAGTTCTCTCATCCTCATGCATGCATTCACGCTGGCAAATACTGAACAGGAGACTCTGGTTCATTAAGAACCAATCAGGAAGCGCACACCTGAAACTACCTCGCCCCCTTGTATACTTTTTTATTTTATAAAACAAAACAAATATTTACAAGTTGGTTATTATATTCAACCTTGTTGCCTTGGTCTATTAGATGAATTAATGTGTTGCTGCGTCTCAACCACTTTATTTCCTTGTGTTGTCTTTTTGTTGTTATAAACTAATGTGTTTTTAATTGTTTTGTAATTTTGCTTATGACTTTGTTATCGTGACTTTGTGCTGTGCTGTACTTTAACTCTGTCTACTGATGTTATCTGCATCTACCAGTATTTCTGGTTAAATATCTATTACAAAAAACATATTCATGAACTTTTTACATAAATGCTACTTTTTTACATATAATTTTGCTTTTGTTGTCTTGTAACCATGAACATAAATCTTTATCATGCTGACTTTAGTAACTGATTCTGATTCAGACTTGACTTCCGTGTTCAATGCAGTTGCTCTTTGAAAACGCAGTGTCATGCATCACTTGCAGTTTTGTATTTTCTTAACGGGAGATTATCATGATTTCATTCCAATAAAACCTACTCTAGCACAAAGCATACAGTAATAGAGGTTTAAATAACGTTTTGTCAGTTAAGATACAGAAGAAGGCAAAATAGAAACACTTCACAAGCTGAATGTCTAAAGTAATTTGTTAGAGCATGTTAATACACTTTTGATCCGTGTATAGAAACGTGACATGATTTTTTGTATCACTCTCCCTTTTCTCACTTTTTTGTATCTTCCATGTGTCCTCAGTTATGGTATTGCTGGCACCACCAATGTGACTGGTGACCAGGTGAAGAAGCTGGACATTCTGTCCAATGATCTGGTCATCAACATGATCACGTCTTCCTTCACCTCCTGTGTGCTGGTGTCTGAGGAGAACGAGAAGGCCATTATTATAGAGCCAGAAACCAGGGTAAGTCGGTCCAGTGGAGACTTTAGATGCTGGACTCTTCGATCTCACATCTGGAATGACTTGTCAGCTGACAAAAACAAAAAAGCTTGGATTCCAGATTCTTAAAAAAGAAAAAGTATTATATTTAAAGGTGGGGTATGTAATTTATTTCAGAAACACTTTTTGTTATATTCCATGGAATGCTCTTAACATCCCGATAGCAATGAATATATTAAATGCTTTGACAATAAATACATAAAAGAATATCATCTGTGGAAGCCGTAGCGCTGTAAAAAGCACGACCAATCATTTTAGCCGGCCCGGCTAAAATAACTGGATGGCCTACCTGCCTGTCAGCCTTCCATCTGTGCACAAACTTATCCCGTGCCCTCATTGGTCATGTGCGCGTTCGTGTATTTTCAAATTCTAGCGCACTCGAGCTGGTTTCTCCAAAATTACCTACCCCACCTTTAAGTACTTCCTCCTTTTACATCTATTGCAATTCTAAAGTGTGGGAGGGCATGGTGACATTTTTATTTTTTGTTCGTCTCATGCACGCCCACAAGGAAACCCATGCACATCACTGTCAATGTGTCACACTAAACAAGCGATGTATAGGTTGCAGCTATGTGCCAAGAAATGCAGCAATGCTCCAACAAAATACATGCAAAAGGAAGACTAGAATGTAATTCAGGATGTAAAAATGTCTTTTCAAACTTGCTTAGCGACTGTTTCATGATAAGGAAATGCATTTATTTGTTTGACCTCAAGATTTGACCTGCGAGAACAATGCTTTTTGTTGAGCAAAACTGCAAAAACCTTTTGTTTGCAGATTCTTTGACAAAATATCTCCTCTTTCTCTTCAGGGCAAATACGTTGTTTGCTTTGATCCTTTGGATGGCTCTTCCAACATCGACTGTCTCGTCTCCATTGGGACCATCTTTGCCATCTACAAAAAGGTAGTAACACAGGTTAAAATCCCCATGATTACGTGTCACCAGTTTGAGTTTTGGAAGGACAAGACACGCTGACTGAAGTTGTCTCTGATAATCACTGTTTTTCTAATTGTTTCTCTGATGTAGCATTAGCCCCCAGAATTATGTTATCTAGATTAAATACCCTATTTAAAAAAGTCCACTCTAACAACAATGTTTATTTTCAGCATTTCTTTTCAATGGCAGTTATAATGTTAACAATTGTAATGTCATTTTAATAAGATGGTAAGTGAAACAAATTAAACATGTTTAACTTTCCAACAACAAACAAACAAAGTCCATTCCCCATCAGTTTGTTTTATTTAATCATCCATATGAAATGACCATATGAAAACATAACTTTGGGAGTTTAAATGCCTTAACAACAGCATGTATCAGCAGATGGCAGCATCCCCCCCCCCATATCTGAGAGGTATCGATATTTTCTTAACTTTAAAAAAATTGGTACAGTAACCTTACCTGGTATTGGATAACTTTCCTCGACAGCAGCCAGACTGACAAGGCTGCCTGTGTCTGTAGTAATCCCTCATAACACACTAATGTCCCCCCGCCTGAAAGTGGACTCCTTTGTTTTCTTCAGCTCCAACACATTGTAGCTGATAGAGATGTTTCGTACTTGAGCCTAAGTGGTTGACCAAACAGAGCCGTCCAGCTAACCAATCAGAGCAGACTATGCTCTGGTTTCAGACAGAGGGTGAAAAGAGGTTACATTACATTTTCTCATACTGCCTGCAGCACAGGCAGTATGAGAAAATGTAATTTTAAAGACCTTTTTCAACATGAAAGCATGGAGACATGTCACAGTAGAGACACAACATACAAATAATAACCTGAAAATGAGCACATGTCTTCTTTAACCCCAAATTGCTCCCGCTGTTTGAATCGGTGAGTGCTGATTTGTATATGTAAAGAGTGCTTTCAAGGGTAGTAAAGACTGGATAAGTGCTGTATAAACAGAGTCCATTTTCCATGATTGATGGCATTACTTTATGCTTCTCTCAGGCCACAGATGATGAGCCTTGTGAGAAGGACGCCCTGCGGCCGGGCCGGACCCTGGTTGCCGCGGGCTACTCCCTCTACGGCAGTGCCACCATGATGGTGATCTCCACCGGACAGGGAGTCAACTGCTTCATGCTCGACCCGGTCAGTGCTCCTGTCAAGGCCCTGTGTTTCACGTTAAAATAAACCTTGTTTTTATCTTTACTGACAGTGTCACTTCTTGATCATCAGGCAATTGGCGAATTCATCCTGGTTGATCGGGATGTGAAGATCAAGGAGCGAGGCAAGATTTACAGCTTGAATGAAGGTTACGCAAAGTACTTTGACCCCGCTGTCACAGAGTACCTGCAGAAGAAGAAGTTCCCTGAGGTAAAATTGATGTCAGGACATGTGAGGGGGAGAGCTTTAAGCGTGGTAGTGTTTTTGTATGTGCTCAAGGACAATGGACATTAATCGACATACTTTAAATCAAATATTTGTTAAGATAGACTCATTTTATCTGCAGTCTTTGATGAAAGTTGTGTGTTTTTTAATCTTGTCCAGTGCAGGGTTAAGTTACATTCTAACGCAATATTTTGCAGGATGGCAGTGAGCCCTACGCAGCCCGTTACATCGGCTCCATGGTGGCAGACGTGCACCGAACGCTGATGTATGGAGGCATCTTTTTATATCCAGGAAATGTGAAGAGCCCCAAAGGAAAGGTAAGGAACCACGACTGATTTCTGGATTGCCTACACATATCAAAACAACTTTTTTTTAAAATGACATTAAAAAGACATTATAAATGCTTTCAAATCACAAAAGTTCCATGTTAAAACGAAGTGAGAGCTACAAATTGAGAATATAATGATATAAGTAAGTGTATGGTCATTTTGTAAAGGGATGAATCTATACCATGTTAGTTACATTTTACCATGGCAAAATCTGCATTTTGCATTTACGCATTATGTACAAAAGTTGAAAGGATAAGGCCTCTGGTATTTAGCATTATTGTCAGTAAATCGACCAATGTGTTAGTCTGTCTCTCGATACTTCATGATTTCTTATTAAAATACGGGTTTCATTTGAAATGTAAGGGTATATCATTTCATTAGTGTAGCACCGTGGCTCATGGATGAATGTTGATGGTTATTTGACAACAACAGAGGAATGAGTTATGTTAGGCTTTGGATACACAGACGATACTTTCCATCATCAGGACTTTGTTGAGACCAAACTGTAGAAAGTGTCACAATGTTGTTTCTTCACTCTCCACATCCTTCCAGTGCTTGCAAGACTGAGCCGAACAAGATGTAGTCACATTTCTTTAAGGGTAGAAGGTGCCTGACTTGTACTGCATATGACAGATGGAAAAATAAGAAGTGCAGAGAAATGAAGAACAAAAGTGTTTAATAAAGTCCCAGTCCACAATAAAATTAGAAAGTGAACGTAAACGCCCAGGGTTTGCAAGATACAATTTATTTAGTACAATAAACTTTTTTTAAACGCTTTGAAAAGATGCAAAAACAACCATTTTAAATAAAATACTACAGATGAGAAAATAAAATAATGAGGGTAACAAAAAACTGCACCCTAAAAGTCTGGTTTTTCTTGCTTGCCTTTATAAGGAAGTCATATCTGTTGATGGTGGAAAGCTAACAGCAGGAAAAACCAGTTTCAATGTTCACCAGACTATTGTCTTGAATTCATATAAATTAAGTTATTACTGTAATAACCTAAGGTAGTAAAGGAGGCAAAGACAGTTGACGAAGTATGACATTAAACTATCCAGAGCCTTGCAACCAGGTAATGAAATGTTAGATTTGAATAAACATTATGAAGAGTTTGACATTGAAGCTAAACCCCCGTCCCTCCCCCTTAAAGCTGCGGCTGCTGTATGAAGGCAACCCCATGGCCTTCATCATAGAGCAGGCGGGGGGCTTGGCCTCCACCGGCCTCGAGCCCCTTCTGGACATCCAGCCCGAGAGCATCCACCAGAGGGCTCCAGTGGCTCTGGGCTCCAAAGAAGACGTCCTGGAATACATCTCAATCTGCCAGAAACATGCACAGAAGAAGTGAGACCGCACTGACTCACTCTCACACCCATCACGGTCGGGCAAACAACTTTGTTTCCCAAACTGGAAGTCGGCTTTTTTTACGACGCTTGATAATGGTTTCTTACTTTAAAGAAATGTGGAGTTACACGGTTTTGAATATCATTTGAGCAATGCTCATGTTCTGCTGATACATAATAGAAGAAAGGTGGTTCAATCGGAAACATGAACGCTGTACAATAAGCTAAATTACACACACATTCCACACAAAGTTACCAAAGATGAAAAGTGCCAACAAATAACAAGACAATTGCACTTTTAAAAAAAACTGAAGAATTGTTTACCTCCAGTTGTGCCTTTTTCCTTAAAATGAAGATACATTCTAGTCAGGGGACGGACCAATACAACCTCTATGCATACACCATGATGCCTTTTAAATATGTGAATGTTGGAGTCTCAATAAATTCAAATGAGTCTTAAGAAGACAAGCAGTCTTTTCATCATTTTTGAAACATGTATCAAATCCTTAAAGAGAACAGATTTGTTGTATTTGTATTTAGTGTCTCTACTGTGACATGTGTCATGCTTTAATGTTCAAAAAGCTCTTTATTCTCCTCCTACTGCCTGTGCTGCAGCACCTCTTTTCACCCTCTGTCTGAAACCAGAGCCCAGTCTGCTCTGATTGGTTAGCTGGCCGTTGTAATTGGTCAATCTCTTAGAGATGTCCCGCCCCTTAGCTTATCACGTACAATGTGTTGGAGCGCTAGCCATATAGGCGCAAGTGTTACATAGTGATGTCACTATGTTACAGATGTAAACATAGAACTCCAATGGAGGTGTTCAGGCAGGGGGCGAGTGTGTGGGAGAGAAACTGGAGGGAACTTTGGGATGTTAGACTTTGCACACCATTTACATGCACAAAAAAAGATATAGCACACTACGAGGAAGGCAAAACCTCAAAAAGCATAATAGGGCCTCTTTCAAACTCACACACAGGCAGTTGCATTCTTTATAAGTATTCTAAAATATTCTTCACATGGAGCCCAAACTGTTTCAAATATAAATACTCTCATCCACTGTCTACTTTTATCTATATTAGTATTACAAATCATTATTATTATTAAATGATAGAATTACATCAACTAAACAGCTGAAACCTGAGCGATAGTGTAAGTGGGTAGAATAAGCAAATACTTGAGAGAGGAAATGAATGACTACAAATAAAGTCATTGCATTTCAAGAAATTGAAAAATTAGAAGATATACGGTCAAAACAAGTTAAGAGATACTTAATCCAGAGTTGACCTTTCAGCTAAAGGTCAGTGTGAGAGCACAGAGCCCTACTGACCTTTAACGCTCGCTGCAGAACTGAATCTGCCTCTCACATCTCACATCTCCCTCTGGCTTTAACCTGTGTCGTGCTGAAGCTCAGAAACGTTCAAACGGAATAATCCCTTTAACCTAAGAGTTAGTATGAGTGAAATAAACCATATTACATCATTATATGCACATGCTTTCAGTTCTGTAATAAACGTTACAGTACGATGTTCTAACATGAGTACAATTCACAGTTCACCACAAATAGTGGAAAACAACAAATACATGAAGTAAAGTGTTGACATAACTGTTTTTTACTTGAGTTTTTCCATTTCTTTATGCTACTTTTATTCTGCTCATCCACATCTAAGAGGCAAATATCATACTTTTTACTGCACTACCTTTATTTAACACTAATAGTTACTTTTTACATTAGAATACATGATATACTTATATGTTATGATACAGTACTTTACTACCAATCTACCCAGTTTTTTAAAGTATTTAAATATGGCTTCCCATTGACAAACATGTCAATGTATTTGTTAGTAATGACAGGATAAGATAATATTCTATAAGACCATAATTCTGTGAGAGAAGCCATGCCGCGTTCTGAGTACATTTTGCCTATAGTACTTTTGTACTTTTACTTGTTAAATGTTGAATTCAGAACTTATAATGATGTATTTTCTGACCTTAGAATTTCTACTTTTACTTAAGCAGAGAGCTTGATTACTTTCTCCACTTCTGCACCACATGAACCTACAGTATATGAAGAACATGTATGCAGATATGTACTGTAGAGAGTTGTTCCAGCACGCAAAGGACCTCAGTGTCGTGTGCAAACACATGTGTTTAAAATACTGAGAATGAACCTTCAAGTTTTTGTTCAGTTCCTGTTTACTACACAGGGCTTTCCTTGTGCAGGACTAAGCTGTGCCTGTCTCTCCTGCTGACACCTGACACCCCCTCACCCGACTCACACACACACCCTCAAGCTTCCACACTCACAAATAGCTCCCCTTGGCGTGCGGTCATGGCTCTGGGTATGAAAAGTACGTAGCTGGTAATCGGGTCTCTCACTCGCTGACCGTCCTTCGCCCTATCTGCTGCCCACCAGGAGGGACAGAAGGAACAGAAACCAGCATGTCGGACCAGTCTGCTTTTGACACGGACGTATGGACCCTGACCCGGTTCGTCATCGAGAACGGCCGCCAGGCTAAGGGGGCGACCGGGGAGCTGACCCAGCTCATCAACGCTATACTGACCGCCGTCAAAGCCATTTCCTGTGCTGTGCGCAAGGCAGGCCTGGCCCACCTGTAAGTACTGAGGTACTGGAATGGGATACATGGGATTAAGTGCTACACATGCACCACACACTACTGACTGTAGTATGTTGTTTAAAAAAGACTGAGGTACTAATTGTATTTGTTTAAGTAAAAAAATGCTTGCATCCCTTTAACGAGAGGTCAGAGGTCAAGGTCAGCTGCAGAACAGCAGCCAGCGCTGGTAGGAATTCAGTGTCAGCTATAGGTGGTTGTTTGACATTTTGCTTCACTGCCACATTTGGTTTAAGAGCTCAGGGTGTGTATGTAACTGGAGGATTCAAACTCTCACTCATGAGACACTGGTAATGCTGATATGACTGTTGAATGCCTGCTGTGTTGAATGCAAAGACAGTGAGCTTTTGTTGATTTAAGGTGCATTTCAACACTAACTTCAAATGAAGCTTATATGAATTATTGTATTCTATGTTATGTCATCTTATCTCTCACATTTTTACTTTAACTTCTTATGATTGTACAAATATTTGTGTAATATGTTATAGTCTAACACAGAGCAACTGTCACGACATCCAATTTCCTCCGGGATAACTACAGCCTTCTGACTCTGGTGCACACAGGCAGGGCTTGGCGGGCTCGGTGAACGTGACGGGAGACGATGTGAAGAAGCTGGACGTGCTGTCCAACGTCCTGATGATCAACATGCTGCAGGCGTCCTACGGCAGCTGCTGCATGGTGTCCGAGGAGAACAAGGAGCTCATCGTCACCCCCAAAGACAAGAGGGTGAGGAGGAGCAGCTCGCTCTGAGGATGGGGTGATGGACTTAGGCAGATATGTTTGTGTTCCGGAATACACCTGTCCTGTAATCCACATGTTGATTGGATAGGATGAGCTTTATATCAATCCCCAGGCAGCAGCACGCAGACTTTTCAAAAGCAATTAAACTCATAATTAAGTCAGTTGAATAAAATATATTATTATTTCAATCTGTAAACTGTAACATATTGACTCAAAACTCCCTTTTAGCCATGAGTCAGAAGTAGGTGAAACAAACCATATTACTGAATGATATCTATATGCTTTTATTTCAGTTATAACGAGTTAATGGAGGATGTTTCAACATGAGTTAAGCTGAGTAAAGCTTCCTTGTACGCAATATAAACTTAATCATGTGGAATACGTATGTGGATAGAACTTTGGAGGAGGAGGAACGTTTGTTATCAATTCAGAATATCAGAATACCTTTATTCGACCCACAGATGGGAAATGTACAAGGTCTCTGCATTTGACCCTTCCCAGTGTTAGGCTGCCATTATGTACGGCACCTGGGGAGCAGTGTAGGGAACTCAGGGATACCTAGCACTTGGTCTTTCTGGGACTCGAACTGGTGACCTTCCGGTTTCCGAGCCAAGTCCCTATAGACTTAGCCACCACCGCCCAATTTGTTTGTCATTAAAGTGTATTCTCAACCCTTTAACTCTATGCTTATGAGTTGTATCTATTAGCTGTATTAGTCTGGCTTAATTTAGAGGAATTGAAATAATAACACAAACAGACAGCACATAAAAGTTATTGAATATTGAATGAAACTCCTGAGTGCTGCTGAATTAGACTTAAGTGAATCCATATCAGATTTACAGCAGCAACAAACACCTGAATTCTATTTACACATGACCTATTTTCAATTTAGAGGTCACATTTTTAAAGTCTCTTATAAAGAGAAACAGCTTAAAAGTGAAATTGTTCAGATTTTATTCAAACATAATGACATTTTTTTCATATATTTGTTTGTTTTGTCACAGGGAAAGTACGTTGTCTGTTTCGACCCTCTGGACGGCTCCAGTAACATCGACTGCTTGGCTTCTATCGGCACCATCTTTGCCATCTACAAACGGGTGAGTGTGACCTCTGCAGTGATGCACGAGCCATGACAAAAAAGATTCTGATATCACAATGTAAGAATGTTTTTTATGCAATTTTACTTAGAAAAAAACAAACATCAGACAATCATAGCACCTTGTTATTCCTATTTCCAATAATTGTATAATAATAATTAAATGTATCACATTGTATGAACCATCAGAATATGTGTATATGTTGTATAGTAGGATAATTACATTTTAAGAAAACATATGTAGTTACTCTCTACAGACACAAGGGGGCACTGTTGTCCAACTAATTCCGGTTTACACTATTATAAATAAGTAGTAAATTATTTATGTCTGGGTTTAATCACCCGCTTTTAACCTAAGTATGTGAATTGACGTGCTATTAATTCAAAATGCATTGATTGTTCATCTTGTTTGTGAACAGCAGCAGTTTGAGGAAATGTATCACCTTTTTCTTTTACGCAAGTAAAACACAACAGTGTAGAAATACTCTGTTACCAAAATCTGCCATTCAAAATGTTAATAAGTATTAGCATCAAAATATACATTAGGTACCAATACAAAAAGTATTGATTATGCAGATTGGCCATTCTTTAAAATGATTTATACTGTATCAAAGATTATACTTCATTTTTTATTTTGAAGTCGTTAAAGGCAGGGATAACTGTAATGACTTTGCGTTTTGCCAGCTTTTTAAAACCAAAATAGTGAGTCACAATTCATTAGTCAATTACATTTTTATATCAATATGAACCTGGAAAGAAGCTTATTTTATAGCTTATCTTGTCAAATAAATGTAGTGTGTAAAAGTAAAATATGTGCTTCCAAAGTGTAGTGGAGTAGAAGTACCAATGAGCATAAAATAGAAATACACAGATAAACTACAAGTACCTTAACAATGTACTTAAGTGCAGTGCTTAAAGTGATGTCACTATGTTACGGAAGTAAACAAATAGGTCCAACGGAGAGGCGTTACCTTCCACCACTGCCTTTTTACTGT